CATGCTGCTTCCTTTACCGCTAAGGACAGGCACATTTCCTGCCCTGCTGTCCCCTGGCGCTGCCCTGGACGGTGGCCTCCGCGCGGCGCCTCCTCCCCTCGCCGCTCTCGCGGCGGCTCCGGAGGCAGAGGGAGTCCGTGCTCATGCCCTCGCCGGCGGCCCACGGAGGGAACCGCTCCAACAGACGCCCGTGAGCACCTCTGGGCGACCCCTCAGCGCCGCCACCTGGCGCCGGGCCCGCAGCTGCCCGGGCGCACCCTGGCAGTGGGGCAGTGTTGTGACTTAAGCTGGCAAAGCCCGAGGCGGGGCGGGGGCGGGGGCGGCCCCGAAGTGCGTGCCGGGCGCGGGGCGGAGAGCAACCGCGGCCCGCTGAGTGACGGCTAAGAGGCTCCCGGCCCCGCCCGCCCGGCCGCCCTCCGCGGCGAGGGGGAGGGGTCCCAACAACAGCTCCCCCACGGGGGAGGAGGCGCGACCAATGGCTGCCAAAACGGCTCTGTTCTGCGCCTCCCTGTCCCCCCAGGACACCGTCTGTTGATGGAAAATTTTGCTGCAGGTGTCAGAACCATTTGTAATTCTCCAACTCAGGTGATCCCTTAATCCTCGCTCACCGCACACTGCTGACAACCTCCTCGCATGCTTACAGCCCCCTAAATTACTGCCTTATTTTCACCTATTTAAACAGGCAAACATTCCTGATCTTCACTTTTAACAGTTTCCTAACAGCCTTCCCTTTCCCATTCGGCCGCCTCAAGGAAGGAATCAGACAAAAGTGAAGGAGTAAATGAAGCCTGCAATTCCTCGTCGTGCAAAGGACCAAAGAAGTCGGCCTGGTGCCAGACGGTGTACCAGCTGCCATCATTTTTTTGGCTCCAAGTCCCTACATTTTTGTTGCCAAGAATTCAGTACAAATGCTATTGCCCACGCAAATGAACGTGGTCCAAATAATTTTTAGAGTACATATTTTCCTCTTCTATTACGGTCTCAATGTTAATATACAGATAAGACTTACTGAGAAGATGCCAATATGCTAGATAAATACCAATAATTACTACTAAGATCAATAAAGAAGCCGATTTATCTTTAATGGATAAAGGAATTTTAAAGGGATTAATAATTATTTAAAAGGGATGTGATAGAGACAGCAGATCCAGAGTAGAAAGGGGAAGGGAAAGAAAGGTAAACAGATGAGAGAAGCAATGAGAAATAAAGAAGGGAATAGGAAAAAATTGACCAGCAAAAGCCCAGGTCTCTTTCCATACAGCAACCATGAAGAATGTCAACAGTTTAAAAGCACTATCATCTAATAAATTGAGTTATATGTTGCTTCCCAGGAAGCGTAGTTAAGAAAAATAAGCATTAAAATTTGGTACCAGTGCGTTGTTCTATAAGAAATCATTTGTGTCATTTCAACAAAGAAAAAAATACAACATTGATATTAAGTAAACAACTATTTAGTGGATATTTATTCTTTTAAAGTATCATCCAAGAAGTTATTATTCGAAAAGAGAAATACCAGTGTCCATGGACATACACAACCCACCCATGTATTTATGTCTGCATAATTAATTTCCCTAGAATGGCATAGGTTCAAGTGGGAGATAAAGAGGTCTAAAAAAATTATCCCTAACATTTAGCTCTAAAGAAACAGCATATAAATGAATTATTTTATATAGCTATATAAAAACAAATGTATTTACATTTATCATTTTTAAAAAGCTTTTGTTTTTAATATGTTTTCATGGAACACTTTATTTTTATCCTTTGTAAGTCAAAGACAAGGAGATAATTAGTGCCTTATGCCAGATGTGCCTTTGCCATGCCTAGGTGATGCTGTAACCCGTATCCCCACCCACCCCCACACACACACTTAGGGGTATGCAATCTCATTTCCACGGGGCTAGCCAGTTTTAGGCTTAACTCGTCTTCTACCACATAGTGTTTTTAATAAACGAATATTTCTCATATTCACTGAGTTGAAATTCATTTCTTCGGCAGTGAAAAAGACCTAGAGGTGTGTATTACTGGAACTCCAATTGGCCCCAATGGTGACAATGCCACCAAAAGAAGTTAAAAACCCTCCTGTTCTCCTTGCCTTCTCCCTTCTTTTTTAAAAAAAAAAAATAATAAAGCAGTGTAACTGATTTTGAAGGAGCCCCTTTGCCTCTAAAAGTTAATATTCATCCCACAGAGGCTCCTCAAAGTGTAACCTACTAATCCAAATTATTTCCAATAAAGCATGGTACCTGTTATTACCAACAATCATATCTTCATTTTTTGACCATTTACATGCCAAGGGCTGCGTGCTGAGGGCTTTATATATATTTTCCAATTTAAACCAATAGTTGACAATAACAGTAACTAATCGAACACTTACTGTGCTACTGTTCTAAGCACTGGACACGCTTCGTCTAATCTTCACAGCACCCCTGATAATTTATCTATCTGTACATGAGGAAACTAAGGCACAGAAGGTATAATACTTGCTCAACACTATAAAGCTAATAAACATCAGTGCTAGGATTTGATTATCATCCTCCATGGGTCTGGCTTTAGAGCTTATGCATTTAATCACTATGCCACGGTGCTTCTAAAAACTGTCATTTAGTCATTCCATATTACAGAGGAGGAAAAAAACGGGTTAAATCTAAAATCTTAAGACTTGTATTCCATGCTTGTTTTGTTGCTTTGTGAATATAGCTGGCACCATAGACAGCACTCTGACAAGTGTTAAGTGGTTATAACTTAAACCAGTAAAGGAGAAACTGATCTGACTTTTGAGAGCCCTCGTCTGTAGCTCTAAAGGCCATCTTTCCAAAACACCAATATACTGTTCCCCAAAATAATGCAGAGCTGAAGAAATGTACACACATGGTCATAATATATAAAGCTTATGCCAATTTGGTGCTAAGTCAGCATGGACATTTCAGACTTTTTCTTAACATCTAGTAGCTGGGCCTCTACCCAGTGCAGGGTTTGAGGAACACTAAGAGGTGAGGTAAGATAAAAGGGTACAGGGAAGTGAATAGACCAGGAAGTACTGAGGGAGATGAGTCTGGAAGTCAGGTATTAAATTAGAATCCAGGTGTTCCTTGCCAGAAGTCAGTGTTGAGTCCTTCTAGGTCTAAGGGTTAAAGAGCAAATTTAAGTAGGGATACCTTATATTCCTTAAAACCAGTACATTTTGACATGGTTTGATTGAATGCTCCATAGGTTATCTTCATCATTCTCTTAAGATGGGAATGACATCTGCTTTATTATAAGGATGAACTATGGAGGCGGGGGGCGGGGGGAGATGACATTTAAAATGTTATGCAGTGTAAATCAGTAGACACCACCTGATTTCTGCCAAAACGACACATCTTTTCCTTCACTATTTCTCCTTCAACCCAAGGCCCATCTTGGAGATAGCCACAGGATTTGCCCTTGGCCACTTTGGGGAAGATTATGAATAAAGATGTTAACATTAGTCAAAAGACCTAGATATCATTCTTCTAGTTTCTTCTGATTCACTATAAGACCCTAAGGTCAGTTAACCCCTTACTTTCTTGTAAACTTTCAAGCAGTAATTGTTTATGAAAAATATAAGTATTCAAACTTCAAAATGGCCTAAGTGTTCAAGTGAAAGGAAGAGTCAAGTCTCTCACTTTAAATCAAAAGCTAGAAATGGTTAAGCTTACTTAGCGAGGAAGGCATGTTGAAGGCTGACAGGCCAAAAGCTAACCCTCTTGTACCAGGTTAGCCAAGTTGTAAATGCAAAGTTCTTGAAGGAAATTAAAAGTGCTACACTCCAGTGAACACATGAATGACAAAAAATCAAAACAGAACAAAACAGCCTTATTGATGATAAAGGAAATTTTAATGGTCTGGATAAACCAACAACAACATTCCCTTAAGTCAAAGCCTAACCCAGCGCAAGGCCCTCTCTTCAGTTCTATAAAGGCTGAGAGGGATGAAGAAGCTGCAGAAAAGTTTGAAACTAGCAGAGACTGGTTCATGAAGTTTAAGGAAAGAAGCTGTCTTTATAACATAAAAGCGTAAGGTTAAGCAAGTGCTGACGTAGAAGCTGCAGCAAGTTATCCAGATCTAGTTAAGATAATTAATGAAGGTGGCTACACTAAACAGATTTTCAAAGTAGATGAAACAGCCTTCTATTGGAAGATGCCATGTAGGACTTTCATAGCTACAGAGAAGTCAATGCCTGGTTTCAAGGCTTCAAAGAACAGGCTCTCTTACTAAGGGTTAATTCAACTGGTGACTTTCAGTATAAGTCGATTCTCATTTACCATTCCAAAAATTGTAGGGCCCTTAAGAATTATGCTAAATCTACTGTCAGTGCTCCATAAATGGAACAAAGCCTGGATGAAAGCACATCTATTTACAAGATGGCTTACTGAATATTTTAAGCCTACTGTTAAGACCTATTGCTCAAAAGAAAAAATTATTTTCAAAACATTGCTGCTCCTTAACAATGCACCTGGTCACCCATGAGCTCTGATGGAAATGTACAAGATTGTTTTCATGCCTGCTAACATGGCATCCATTCTGCAGCCCATGGATCAAGGAGTAATTATGACTTCCAAGTTTTACTCTTTAAGAAATATAATTGTAAGGATATAGCTGTCATAGACGGTGACTCTTCTGACATATCTGGGCTAAGTAAATCAAAACCTTCTGAAAGGATTCACCATTCTAGATGCCATTAAGAACATTTGTGTTTCTTGGGAAGAGGTCAAAATATCAACATTAACAGGATTTTGGAAGAAGTAGATTCTAACACTCGTGAATGACTGAGGGGTTCGAGACTTCAGAGGAGGAAGTAGCTGCAGATATGGTGGAAACAGCAAGAGAACTAGAATTAGAAGTAAAGCCTGAAGATGTGACTGAACAGCTGCAATCTCGCGATAAAACTAATAGATGAGAAGTTGCTTATGAATGAGCAAAGAAAGTGGGGGGTTTTTTGGTTCTTTTTTTTTGTTTTTGTTTTTTTGTTTTTTTTGTGGGGGTTTTTTTTTTTTTTTTTTTTTTTTTGACAGAAATAAGGATTTATTAGTGGAAGAGGGGCAGCATGAAGACTCATGAGTGCAGGGCACGCCATTTGTCCAGGGGGCCACGATTAGGGATGTATTTGACCCCACAGCCATCTGGGATGAGCCGCTTTTCAGCCACCATATCTTCAAACTCATCTGCATTAAACTTAGTAAAGCCCCATTTCTTGGAAATGTGAATCTTTTGACGACCAGGGAACTTGAACTTGGCCCTGCGTAGAGCCTCAATCACATGCTCCTTGTTCTGCAGCTTGGTGCGGATGGACATGATCACCTGGCCGATGTGGACCCTGGCCACTGTGCCCTGGGGCTTTCCAAAGGCACCCCGCATACCTGTCTGGAGTCTATCAGCCCCAGCACAGGACAACATCTTGTTGATGCGGATGACATGGAAGGGGTGGAGCCGCACTCGGATATGAAAGCCATCTTTGCCACAGCTCTTCACCATGTACTTGTTGGCACAAATACGGGCAGCCTCCAGGGCTTCGGAAGAGAGCTGCTCATATTCATCCGACACCATGTGGCCACAGAGTGGGAACTCATCCACTTTTGCCTTCTTCCGCCCCAGGTCAAAGATTCGAATCTTGGCATCAGGGACACCTCGGCAGAAGCGAGACTTTGGGTATGGCTTATTCTTACAATAGCGATAACATCGGGCGGGTCGGCGGCCCATGGTGAAGCAGAGATCTTCAGTGGCACACCAGAGGAAATGAGCAAGAAAGTTGTTTCTTGAGATGGACTCTACTCCTGGTGAGGATGCTGTGAAGATTGTTGAAATGACAACAAAGCAATTAGATTACATAAACTTAGTTGATAAAACAGCAAACTTCATTGTCTTATTTTAAAAAACTGTCATAGTTACCCCAACCTTCAGCAACTACCAACCCGATCAGTCAACAGCCATCAACATCAAGGCAAGATAGTATCCCCACTAGCAAAAAGATTACGACTAGCTGAACGTTCAGACAATGGTATTTTTTAGCAATAAAGTATTTTGCATTAAGGTATATACATTTTTAAGACATAATGCTATTGCACACTTAATAGACTATAGTACATTAACTTTTACATGTTCTGGCAAACAAAAAAGTGTGACTCACTTTACTGCAATATTTGCTTTATACCGATGATCTGGAACCAATATCTCTGAGGTATACCTGTAAGTAAAAATATTCATGAAACTTTCAGGCACAAATGACTTTGTATTAATTATCAAAAAGAAAGAGAATTACAAAAGGTTGTAAATTAAAGTAGCTGGTATCAAGTTAAAGAATTAACAAGTATAGATCACAAAAACAGAATAATTTCAATTTACAGTTAAGTTGTGACCTGCAATTTAGGGAAGTGCTATATAACAAGTTAATTGTTGTATAACAAACTATTACCAAATAACCATTTTATTTGCTTATGATTTTGTGGGTCAGCACTTTGGGCTGGGGGCAGTTTTCACTCTTCTTGCCTGGGGTCACCAGTGAAGCTGTGTATTGCCTGGGGCTGCTTGGTCTATGGAGCCTCTGCTGAGATGGCTTGTCTCTGCTCCCTGTATTATGCTCTAAGAGGTTAACTAGGGCTTCTTCACATGACAATCTTAGGGTTGCGACGTGCAAGTTATTTTTAAGCTCTTGCCTATCATATTTGTTAATGTCTCATTGGCCAAAGCAAATCATATGGCCCAACCAGAAGTTAAATAAGGGGGCAGCCAACACATGGGTTTAAATACAGGGAGGAGTAAATCATTGGTTCTATTACTTTAACAACCTACCACAATTTACTTTGACAGAATACACTAATTACAGTTTCTGGTGGATCATCTGGCTGCTCACCCAAATCAGTAGCATCTAGTGACTTATCACTCAAATGTTAAAGTTCACATTTCTTGTTCTTGGAATTTATTGTTATTCATTATTGAGCGCCATCTACCTATGAGATAAAGAGCCTGGGAAAGGGAGGTAGTACACAACTATTTTTGCCAGTTGGGAATTTGGTAATATCATTTAGCTTTATTTTACTCTAATACAGCCAATATAAAGCCAAAAAAAAAAAAAAATCTAAGCTCACTTAGATTTTGATATTCAGTATTATTGGGCAGCAGATTATGAAGAATTGTGTTTACTTATTACCTAATTTCTCTAAAATGCATGTGAACTGAGAAACTTTTTCAACTGATCTATATGCTGTTTCATGATAATCGTCATGAGCAGAGTAAAATAAAAGGTAGGCAGTACACAATTATTAAGTGTACTTGCATAAATTAGAAAAAATTTTGAATATTTTATTAACACTATGTACATAATATTAAATAGAACTTTTATACATCACCTAAGTCAGTGTCTTTGATTTGTCATTTATTTGCTATAGGAAAGAGAACACATTTTTAGTATTAGAGAATTAATCAGAGTCCAGAACATAGGCTGGCACAGAGTAGGCCCTTAATATTTCTGAATGAATAAGTCTGATATTTTTATAATATGTCTAGAATAATTACGTAGACGAAAGTCTGTAATAAAAATAATATCTCATATTTGAACACAAACTTTAACTTTTGGAAATTATTTTTAAAACATGTTCCTCACCACAACTCTATAAAAAGTTTTATAATCCCATTTTGCAGATGAGGAAACTGCAGCTCAGAAGTTAAATGACTTGCCCCAAATCACACAGCTGGATGGTAAGACCTAAACTATAGGATTCTCTTTCATTATGCTATCTTTCAAATACAATAGTTAAAAGCTATGTAATGTCAAAGAACAAATACACTGGTTTTTACATTATACAAATAATGTCCTTACAAAACCAATACAATAATGGCATTCATCTGGCTTTTAAATAGATGACAAATTTCTACAAGGTATTATGTGACTTCTGTTCATTCTTTCCTTCTGTCTAAAAATATTAGCCAGGTGTTTTAGAAAATAGTATAAAATATGGTCTCTGTCCTTGAGCTCACAATCTAATTGGGGTGGGAGGAGAAAGAAGGTAGGAGAAAAAGCATAAAGCAATATAATACATTTTATAATATAGGCATTACAAAGTTCTATGGTGACAAGAAGATTGCTACTAATTCTGCTTTGTGGGAGTTAAAGGAAAATTCGATCGTTACCTTGTCTGTGACTCTGTCATTCAGATTTCTCAACTTCCTGTGTTTATTATAGCATTGGATATTTCGAGCTACTCCTTTAAGATACTCAAAAAATATGAAATTTAACTAATCTAATTTAAAATTAGTTTATAAACTTTAACCCAGTAAAGCTTTCATCTTTGAAAATTTGATTCTTAAATTAAAAAAACAGAAAAAAAAAAAATCTGTCCACTGGTGTGTAGTTACTGTTCATAAGGAAAGTTTAGCACAGATGAAAAAACTTCCAGATAATATGGATAGGTCTCTTAGCAGCTCTCTATAGAAATAGCTAAACCTATATTGTTTCAAGAGGTTTATAACTGAGAATTTTTAAAAAGGAGATGGGGATCTTATTTACATTTTTTCTGACAAGAGTCCAGATTCAGTGATTGGGAAGTACCTTTTTTTCACCCAAGAATTGATGATGATCTATGACCAGAACTATGAAGAGGCACAAAGCAAATAAATTCTTTGTCCTGAAAGAGCTTATTTACAATCTAGTTCACACACTTATTGGCTCATTTCTCAATACAGGCAACTGAGAAAGTGTTCTTTGCAGGAAAAGAAAACCAGAGGAAAGGCAAAGCTTTACAAATTCACAGCCCAGAAAGAGCCAAAATTAAAGTTTGAGATATAATAATTTCTTCTGTTTATGTTTTATCATGGTATAATACGCACGAAACTTACTATTTAAACCATTTTTCAGTGTACAGTTCAGTAGCATTAAGTATATTCACATTGTTGCACAACCATCACCAGTACCCATCTCCAGAAAATTTTCATTATCCTATGCTGAAACTCTGTACCTATTAAACAATAACTCCCTATTCCCCTCTCTTCTCAGCCCCTAGTAATATCTTTTCTAATTTCTGAAGTGAAATCATACAATATTTGTCCTTTTGTCTATCTTCTTTCACATAGCATAATGTCTTCAAAGTCCAACCATGTTGTAGCATGTATTATTAATTTTATACCTTTTTTGGCTGAATAAAATTCCATTGTATGTCCATACCACATTTTGTTTTCCATTCACTACTGATGGACATGTTTTTCCCCCCATCTTTTGGCTGAGAATAATGCTGCGATAAACCTGGTTGTACAAATACCTGTTTGAGACTGCTTTCAAATTCTTTTGGGTATATAGTCAAAGTGAAATTGCTGAGTCATATGCTAATTCTACGCTCAATCTTTTGAGGAACTGCCAGTTTTCTCCAGCAGCCATACAATTTTACATTCCCATCAGCAATGCACAAGGGTTCCAAACTCTTCACATCTTTACCAACCCTCGTTTTTTATTTTTACATTAACCATCCTAATGTGTGTGAAGTGGTAACTCATGGTTTTAATTTGCATTTCTCTAATGATTAGTGATGTCGAACATCTCTTCATGTGCTTATTGGCCATCTGTACATCTTTGGAAAAATATCTATTAGACTCTTTTGTAAAAAAACTTTGACCACAGAGTAGACAAGCATCCCTGGGAAATGGTGACAGCACAGTCTCATCAAGCAGAATGAAGTGAAATTCTACCTTTCGGCCTACAAAAAGAACAAAATGACGTTCTGTACAAGTACGAAATGCACTGTGAAGAACAAAACTAGAGCCGATTCCTTAGTGAGGCTGCCCAGGATATGGCTAACCCTTAGTTCCTAACTTTCTTTGCACTTCATGTAAAAATATTTGAGTACCTGTTTTATTAGTTTCCTACTGCTGCTATAACAAATTACTAGAAACTTAGTGGTTTAAAACAACACAAATTTATTCTCTTTACTGTTCTGGAGACCAAAAGCCTAAAATCAAGGTCTTGGCATGGTCTTCTTTTGGAGGCTTCAGGGAGAGAATCCCTTTTTCTCTTTGTCTGTTTCCAAAGGTGCCTGCTTTCTTTGGTTCGCAGCCCCCTAACATCACTCTGATCTCTTGATGCTTTTAATTAAAATTTTTTAAAATTCGTTTTTAGACAAAACAGACATAACATTGTCTAAGTTTAGGGTACACAAAATGATATGTGTATATTACAAAATGATTACAATAGTCTAACATCCATCACCTTGAATAGAGAATATTTTCTACTTGTGATCTGAATTTTTAAGGTTTACTCTTTTAACAACTTTAAAATATACAGTGTTGTTAACTACAGTCACCATGCTTGTACTTATCTTTTGCTTCAACGGCCACATCTCCGATTACTGACTTGCTTGCCTCCCCTTTTATAAAGACCCTTTTGAGTACATTAACCTGGATAATCCAGGTTAGTTTTCCCACCTCAAGATCCTTAATCACATAACTAAGTCCCTTTTGCCATGTAAAGTAGCATATTCACAAGTTCTGAGACTTAAGAGGTAGACATCTTTGTGGTGACATTATTCTACCACCCCTATTATGTGCCTGTGAATTCAAAAATGAAAAATTATGGCATTCAATATACTCTAGAGATCATTTTTCTCTTAGATTGTTTGACCTACCCACCTCGTTTACTGGTGGGTGTTACCAGCCCCTGGAATTAGTTGTCTGAACTGAAATTGGCTGATATGAACAATCACAAAGATACAGCCGCACCCATTGTTTCTGCTGTTGCTGTTTGGGTAAGGAATTACAAAAAAATGAAAGCAGCTTTTCCTATTAAATAGCCACCAACAAGCAGACTCATCAGCATTGCCGTTCACAGTGGGAGAGGCAGCAATAAGGCCTTGACGAAGCACTGAGCAATTGAGGGCCTGGACAATTACTCTCTGGAAGCCGATTACTTTCTTCACGTGTTCCTTCTCCTTGGAAAATGGCGGGCCTTACCTCTTGTTCCGCGCCACCCAGAGCGGGCGGGGCAGATAGAGCCTCTCTCTCGGTCGCCACGGCCCACCGTGCTCTATGACGCCCGCTGCCAGGAGCGACGAAAAGCCAGCGCTTGGCACCCGCCCGGGTCCCGCGACGCTCGCGGATCTGCCCTTGCAACCAACTTCCCCTTTCCTCTCTCTCCGCTTCCGGAAGCCGAGGGGTGCTGCTGGGAGCCCGGGGGCGGGGCTTCAGGAGCGCGCCGGCGCGTGCGCGCGAGCGCGAAACGCCGCGGGCGGCGCGCGTGGAGGCCGTAGCGGCCTCGGCTCGCAGGTGAGCGGCGCGCGAGCATCCCCTAGTCCGCGCCCGCCTCCCTCCTCACGGTTCGGGATCCGTTTCCCCTCTCCGGAGCCGGGCCAGCGGCAAACACGCAGGGTCGGTATAAGGAATCCCGCGCGGGGGTGGAGGAGGCGAGCCGGCTGGGACCCCCACCCCCAGCCCTTTGCCCTGCCGCCTCTCCAGCCCGGCCAGCCCTGGTCGCCGGGTGTAACCACAACAGAGGCTTCCGAGCCGGCAGGTCCGTGGGGCCGTCCACACCCGCAGCGGTCCCCGAAAAGGACGGCCCGGCCAGTCCTCAGGACGCGTTCGGGCTTAGCATGGGAGTCGGGGTCGGCCCGGAGTTAAGTGGTAGCGACCAGGAGCCGGGCTTAGGTCACCGCCTCTCACCTCTGCGGACCTGAACCTGAATCCTGGTTGTCAGTTATCCTCTGCTACCTGGCGGGATCAGGAGGGATGGTGAACGGAGCTTCAAAGTTCCGAAAAACAGATGTTTACTTTGGGCCTAGATTTTCGAGTACCCAATCGGTTACCTTCTTTGGATGTATTATATATCTAACTACAGAAACGTAACGTCACAGTAACAAAATGACAGTTTGGAAATTTTCAGATTCTTATTTGTGTGTTTTCCTGATCTATCATGAAAGCATTAGTATTTCTATTGTCGGCTCTGCAGGCAGCTTTGGCAAATACCTCATTGAGGACCAGAAGGGTTATTAAGTTCTGATGAGCTATCATTTATTTTTTACCCTTTCCCAACGTGTTGCAGTGACAGCACCTAAACCCGAGAGTGGGGCTGTGTAATATTGGGATTTATAAGGCATTTAGTTCTCATCCACATTTCCTAGTTATCTCCCCAAATCCTTGGAATTTCATAAGTCAAGAGGATCCTGGTGTATTTGTTAATGAGGTGACTTTTGGACTCCTCCCTAGGGTGAGGACCGGGGGTTAGAAGAACTAAGCAGATTTGAGGTTTGGAATTTTAAGTCCCACCCCTGCCCTGTGGGGTGGGGAGAGGGGCCTAGAGATTAAATTGCCAATGGCCAATGACTTAGTTAATCATGACTATATAATGAAGCCTCCATAAAACCCCAAGAGAACAGCCCATTGGTTGTTTTTCTGAGGGCTTCCACGTGCTTCGGTGCCACCTCCAAACTCCATAAGGACAAAAGTTTCTTTATTCGGGACCTTGCCCTATGTATGTCTTCTTCTGGCTGTTGATTCGTATCCTTCAATATCCTTTGTCATAAATTGGTAATCTAGTGAGTAAATGGGTTTTCTTGAGTCCTGTGAACTGTTCTAGGAAATTAATCGAACCCAAGGCAGGGGTGTTGGAATCCTCTGATTTAGGGCATTAATTTGTTGTAGGAAATAATGTTTCTTTTGTTTTAATATTTACTTGATAAAAGTTTTATAATCTAATTTTTCTTAAATCTTTAAAATTTACCTAACATCTTATTTTGGTTTAAATCTAGTAATGTTTTAGAATTTTAAAACTCATACTTTAATTTTCGCTTAGTTTACATTTCCCTGAACATTTTACACCATTTACAAACTTGCTTAATAAACAGCACAATTGCAATTTTAGTATATTTGATTTTCTTAAATACTTCAAACTCCTGACAAGGCACGCTTATAGACGTAATAAAGGACATCTTCCTTAGCACTTAGACATTGTTTATAAACCTAGGAAGTCTAAACTTTCTGATTTAATCAGGTTCTCTTAAGTGTTTAAAAGTAGATTACAGTTAAAATTTTATAAGTTTAATACATCATAATCTCTTCTATTTTTTAAAACCTTAAAACCAGACAGATTATCCAGTGATGATAAAATGTATTACCACATATACTTTAACCTATCATATTTAACTTATCACATTAATGGTATAAATTTGGTTGATTTTAAAATCATGTTTATACTTGCTTTTATAAGTTGCAGCATCACTTAAACAATTAAAGGCTGCAGAGTGTCATGACTGATTTAGGTTACAGATTACATAATCATTGCTTGATTGGATGTTATTTAATCATAATTTGAATATAGTAAGCACATAATTAGATTGTTAGATATATGTTATTGGAAATTTATATATTTCTTTCCTTTAACATAACTCATACTATTTGCCCCTTTTGATTATCATTATGGACTCATGACTTTCCCCAGAATTACTTTTTCCTTTTTACGTATATTTTGTGTTTTTTGTTTTTTAGTGTTAAATTGTCCAGCTTGGACAGTCCAAGCACCTTTGAACTGGATCCTTTGTTTTATTACCACTACCCCATATCTGGATATTGTGCTTTCTGGCAACAATAAGATATTCTGGGCCTTTCTTGGTTTTTTGGTTTTTTATTGTTCATTTGTGTGTTTGTTGTTTTTTCGCCTCCAGAAATGGAATCAGCTGCCTTCCAAGGTCCTGATTTTTAAAAAAATTACTTTAAAAGGTTATGTCACAGTTTGTAATTAAATATTCAGAGGTCTGACTCCGAGCTGCCTGTATAGCCTATGTATGTGCCTTAGTGGTTTTATTTGAAGGGATTGAGGCAGTTTTTACTTTTAATAGGAGTCATCTTCTTTCTGCTGCTGTTTCAGTAACTGCACTGGAGGACACAATAGGGCAAAAACAAGTGCTGAAATGGGGAAGTGTGTCAATCTTCATTGGACTACTACCACGAAAATAATGTGTTTGGGCTGGCCTAGCTGATCTCATGAGGTTTTAACATCATCTTATTCTAAACTCTAATTGTCTTTAATTTATAGAAGGCAGGTTTTCCTTGGCGTTCACCTAAGTGTCCATGTTTGCAGTATGCCTGCCTTGATGATCTATTATTTTCCTATGAACTGAACTATTAGACCTATTTTCAAATCATTGATATAACTTGATATTGCTCTTGTCACTCTGCTGAGTTGTTCTTTTTGTTTTTTTAGGCTCATGTTTCTTTTTATATATTAACCAAACTTCTCAGTTTGGGAAAATTAGGAATTATTATATAAAGATGAAAAATATTTGGAAATTACTCTTCAGTCTGATGGTTATATTTTTCTCCTTTTCAGATATATTTTTGTCATCATGGATCAATTCGGAGATATATCAGAAGGTGAAGTGGACCATTCTTTCTTTGACAGTGACTTTGAAGAAGCAAAGAAAAGTGAAAGTAACTCAGTTTTTGACAAGCAAAATGGTGACCCTAAAGAGAGACTAGACAAAGATACAGAAGATGTAAACTTGAAATTTGGAATGCAAAGAAAAGAAAATGATCTTACTGAGAAAGAAAATGAAAGAAAAGAGAAAATTCCTCTAGAAGAACACCCTGTAGAAAATGACAATACACAAATCAGAAATTCTTTATTGTTGACTCCTTCTTCAAGATCAAAAAAGATGTGTGATGCTACAAAAGGACATAAAGTACAGTTGACCATTCCAAATAGAATTCCCAAAATTGTAAAAGAAGGCGAAGATGATTACTATACAGATGGAGAGGAAAGCAGTGATGATGGGAAAAAACATCATGTCAGGTCCAAGTCAGCTAAACCATCTAATAACTTTAAAAAAGGCATCAGTAAAAAATATTCCAAAAGTAGTTCCTCTTCCTCTTTGTCCTCCTCATCTTCATGTTCAGGTACAGATTGTTCAGATGTAGGGTCTGATATCAGTACATCTGATTCACCTCCATCATTAAAGAAACATCTCTCTGGTGTAACCCACTTGTCACCAAAACATAAATATAAACCACGAATAAAATCATCAGGAACACAGCCTTCAAGTACTAAACCAAAAGTCGGTGATTACACTGAGGAATCTGAAGATACTGTGACAGATGTCACTCCTTTATCGACTCCAGATATCAGCCCTGTTCAGTCATTTGAACTGGGTGCATCAAATCATCCAAAAGTAAGAGTTAAAAGGCAAGAAAATGTGAGTCAGGAAGTGTATGGAAATGTTGAGGATTTAAAAAATAATTCAAAATCTTCGAAATCGACCAAAAAAGGGAAAGAAAAACCCGGGTCCAGTCTCACCTCAAAGTCTTCAGTGTTAGATTCCAGTGGAGACCACAGATATAAACAAAAAGACTTACATGACACAATGGACCTGAATCATCTTTTGAAAGGTAATTTTATTTTCCTTTTTAAAAACTGTATATTGAATTTAAATATTTAATGGTATATTAAGCTTAAATATTAAATGCTATGAATTTGCATTGGTTTTTCTAGTAGATATGTTTTATTGTTTGAGATAATTGATACTATAACTTTACCAAACATTCCATTTTACCATAAAAATATTAGGAATGGCGTTATTTCTAGTATTACAAAGCTGAACAGCTAAGACTAGAAACTGCTTCAACTAGAGGGACCAGATGAATAAGATGAGAGAAGTGGAGCTAGATTTTCCCATGTTTGATAGAGACATTGGCATTGAATATATTTTACTTCCTTCATTAAGGAAGCCAACAGCAAGCACTGAGGATAAAATAGCTGACCTGTTGTCTTCATACCAGAGAAAGTGATAAGAATGCTGGCAAATGAAAGAACTCAGAGTAAACTATGGGGTACTATTCAGATTTTAAGTTAAAAGCTAACAAGCATTACTTGAAAATAATTACCTAGTTGACAAAATAATGTAATTCAAGTTTCAGTTGCTTTAAAATATATTTTTGAATTAGAATCATCTTTATTGCTGTATTTCTGTATCAATTTATTATTATCCATATTTAGTTTGAAAGGAACAGTACATTCCAGGTGAAATAAAAGCAGCTTCAAACTTTTCCTTTGGACTCATTTATGTAAACTGTAAAAATATTGGGCTTGCAGGTTAGATTTAGGTCAGTTAACATTTTTAAGTTGTAAATTGGATTCTCTGTCTTTGAAATATTAATTGAAAGGATAAATCTTTAGCTTTATAATTTACATATTGTGGCAATATAAGGGCATAAATAAATCTCTTATTTAAAATAACTCATAGTTGGATCGATAGTGTATTTTGGAGCAGCTTACACTTGTGAATGTTCCCTCCTTTGTAGGTTTTTCTTTCTCCTTTGCTCTGATTATATCTGTTGATGGTTTAGTGTGTCTGAAAAATTGAACTCTCCACTTTGGCCATCATCAACTAGTGGCTAAGCCTCCACTCAATATATCATTCCTGATAAATACTCATTCAGTCTCTTAAAACTTTGAGGATTGAGGCTTTTTCTGTTCTTGCCCCTCTGCTGCTTGTGCTAACAACGAGAGTGATCTTTTAAAAAGTCAGTCAGTCTTACTAGTTTCTTTCTTAATTCTTCAGTGGGCTTACTCTTATATTAAAAATAAAATTTAAATTCCTTATCATAGCCTAATAGACTTGATATCAGTGATTCTTATCCCAGGTGGTATATTAGCATCATCTAGAGAACTAGTAAAACAAATTATAAAAACAAACTATTAAAACAGATACTGATGCCTAGGCCCTGCCACGGGGATTCTGATGCTATTGGTCCAATATGCTATTAAGGTTGATGAGAACCATTGCTCTGCATCATATCCTGTTTTTTAAAGTCTCCTATTATTTTACTCCAGTCACACTGCTTTCTTACTTTTCTCAGAACACACTGCACATCTGTGGGGCATTTGCACTTGTTGCTCTCTTTCTTTGCATAGTCTGCTGCTTTTTCTCAGGTCTCAGCTTATATATCACCTCAGCTTATATATCAGAGAGACTTTTTCTTAACATTCTATATGTTGTAGCTTCACACCCTCGACCCCTGCCTCTCTGACACAAAAACCTGTTTCCTTCCACAGAATACTTATTAGATCCTGGAACTTGTAAAGTTTGTTTATCTCTCCCGCTGGAGTGTAAGCAATATGAGGGCAGGAACTTATTCCTTGCTAGAATCCCCAAATCTAGCCAGTGTTGGCACATAATAGACAATATTTGTCAACTGAAGGAACTGTGAGGAAGTTTCTATTGTTGCACAACTCTAAAAAGGAAATATATTTCACATTTCACCAAAACTTCATTTTTGTAATAAGTTACCCATGAAATACATAGAATAAGTCTGTGCCTCCTTCTGTATTATAATAACCTTTAATATATTTGATATTCTTCTCTAGAGAAACTCTATAATTCTTTATCAAGCCATCCAGTGTAACAATTTCCACTTAAAAAAAATTTTTATGGCCACTTTCTAGTCTGTAAGATTATTTGTATGATTCATCAGATTGATGATTTCATCAAGTTGAGAACTGCATCTACATCTCTTAGAGTTCTATTTACCATATTAGAAATTAAATCAGAAATTTAAAAAAATATTAGTTTATTAAAGAACAGTAATAAACCTATTGTGTATTAACATAAGTTTTATGTAAACATAAGTTAAATATGTTTTATTGAACATAACTATATTTCCAAAAAATTAGTGATCTTTGCTAATCGCTAATACCTGGCAATAGAAGGTAATTGGATTCTCATGTCAGCTTCTGCATGAACTATTGTGATATATTGTTTTTGTTGAAGTATGTGAAGAAAATCTGACCTCACACAGATATGATTGGAAAATAGAGGAATCTTTTAATATCCTCTTTAATTTTAAATATTCTTTGCTACCACACCAATATTCTACAAGTAGTAGTTTCTTAAATGTTAGTTGCAATGTCAGATTTGAAATGAATATTAATTTGTCATCTGTTACATTAGAATTATTGATTTGTCTTACATTTTGAATGATTTTTGTAGCACTGATAGGTTATTTAAAAAATGTTGGTTCACTGAGCTTACAAATGTTGACACAGTTCATAATACACTATACAGAAATCATAGTCGTTAATATCACTACCAGTCTGGTTATAAAGCTCTTGGAAAGCTGTCAAACTCAAGTTTACCAAAAATTCTAATTTTTACTGAAGCGCTCATATTTTGTTATTGCCAACAAATACTGTCAGTTTTTTTCCTTAAAGTGACAGGATTATTTTTTAAAATCATATTTTTAATGCAAAAATTGGAAGGTAATCAAAATTAAGCCATAAAAATCCATCCAATGAGATCATACAGACTGCTCACTAATATTTTGTTTAATAATATGCATCTTAATATATTTTCCTTTTTTGTTTGTCAAATTTCTATTGCTGTATTGTTTTTAATAATTTCTACCGTGATTTATATGTGTTTAAAAGTAGCAGCCTAACACATGGCATTATAAAGTATCTTATAAAAATTTCTTATGAAATTAGGGTAAAGTAAGAATATAGATATTGAAAAGATAATGTTATAGAAGATAACAGTGTATAATATGACTTACAAGTTTTATTTCTTTTTAAAAATGTGGTCTTATTTGACTAAATCATAATTTTAAAGACTCACTCTTTTATTTTTTATTTTTGTAAGTACTATTTGATTCCACAAATTATAAGCACCACTCTGTTTTCCAAATGAGAATGAGCAGACATCGCCAATAAAAAGCTTATTTTAGGAAGAAAACACTTGATTTTCATTTGGAATTATCAGGTTTTTAAAAACCATCTAATGGAAAAATAGTCTGTGATATTTGAGCTTTTCGTTCAGGACCATCAATGATTATCTGTTTGTATTGCTTAGGATGATTTTGGATGCAAAAAACAAATTCCTAATAAAACCATGTTTCTCACATAACAGGAGGTCCAGAGATAAACAAAGCTTGAGGGTTGACTGATTCAGTGGCTGAAAAATGTCTTCAGGGACCCAGGTTCTACCACCCTGATCCCCTACCCTGGTATTAGCTTCATTCTTAGGTTGCTAGGAAATATCTGCAGCAATGTTTAATATTCACGTCCAGACATGACAGTGTTCAGAGAAAGAGAAATTATCTCCTCTTCATCTTAAATTAGAGGAACCTTTGTAAAAAATCACTTTCAACTGACTTCCACTTATGTCGCATTGCCTAGAATGGGGTTATACTCCCATTCCTGACATAGTCGCTGACAAGGGTAATGGGATTATTCCAGGCCAGTCGGATTCACCCTAAAGTTAGAGGTGGGAATCAGGAGGGGAGGTCAGCTTCCCCTGAAAGACATGGCTTCTTAGGAAAGGGATAAATGTCTTTAAAAAAAAATTGGGGATCTGTTAAGTAAAGGAAGAGGAAAATAGGAATGTATGCTAATTGGGCAACCAACTTTATCCACTAGGCCAGAGCTTGTCACCTTTAATATGCATACAAGTCACTTGGGGATCATGTTAAAACATAGATTCTGGTTCAGTAAATCTAGAGCAGAACCCAAGAAGCAGCATTTCCATCCAGCCTGGTGGTGATACCATTGCTACTGATCCAAGTACCACAATCTGAGTACCAAGACACTAAAAAATTATTTGGTTCCATGGAAAATAAATACAGGTGTCTTTCACTATTCTTATCTAATTCATTTCTGAAACTTAGTTGGATATGGAGAGCCTATATATTTTTAAGTTTGAAATGGGAATAATAACAATCACGCCTAAAATTCCTGAACAGTTTCCCCAAATATAATAGAAGCACTGAAATACCGTTTCAACAGGGAAACAGCTAAAATGTAGAAGAAAAGCTTTATTCATACTGTTGCACAGTAGGGAGCCCTGATCTCGCTAACCTGCTAGTAAGTGGTGCTCAAGGCTTTTAAACATACAGAAACAAAGGTGGCATTTGCCAGTTGGTACATCTGTGTTTGAAATCCAAATCATAACAATCACCATGGAGATGTGTGCATGACTATGCCAGTTCTGCACTCATTTCTCATTATACGTTATCACTTTCAACTACTACTATATGGGCTTTTCTGTGCCTCTTTGTCTCACCTCATTTCTTCACAACCTTTTCTACTTCCTTAGAATATAAATTTACTTAATGTGAGGAAGATGATAGTGATGATGCATACCACATTATAAAAATTATAAGCACAAGATGTGATCCTATCAGAACAGCTGAGGTGCTGAGGTAGGAACACAACATACTCTACATCCTCTCAATTTAAACATTTTCACTAATTTTTGATTCAGATAGTGAATTTTGAGTGACAAATTTTCAAGCCATTACAGCAAACATTGAGCTAGAGTCAGATAGTGAGGGATGCCTGTTTAGCTAACAGTATTAATGTTATTTATTAGTTTAAAATAACTTTTGTTAACATT